TTAGTTTTAAAAGTCTGAAGCAAACATTCTCAGGGAAACGTGTGAATACAACAACATTTTACTTTCCTACAACACATTTTTGGGGCTCATCAGAAGCCCTTTCCTACAACACATTTTACTCGGCAATAGATCACTAGGACCCCAAACCAAGCGCCCTGTCAACAACATTTTACTTTCCTACAACACATTTTACTCGGCAATAGATCACTAGGACCCCAAACCAAGCGCCCTGTCTGTGCCCTGCTTGCTATTTCCTACAACACATTTTACTCGGCAATAGATCACTAGGACCCCAAACCAAGCGCCCTGTCTGTGCCCTGCTTGCTACAAGAATCCCCCAGGTGCATCCCTGGCCCTCCCCGGGTTCCAGATGAAGATGTATAGAGCAGGCAAGGACATCACAGCAGGGACTGCCTGCCACCTCCAAGCCCAGGGGGATCTGCCACCTCCTGTCACCTGCTGCCTGTCTCCTGAACTTCTCCAGAAAACTGACATTCGGGGTCTGGAGAGGGGAGGGAAAAAAAAGCCAAAAGGCAAGCCTCTGAGTGACAGCTGATAGCTAATTCCTCCCATTTTGGCTTCATTTGGTTATGGAAGAGGTGATAACACACAAAACCCAATTACCTGTGATCAAGCACCTCCCCTTTGGTGCCTATCAAATGGGAAATCTAGGGAGGAATCTGGAGGAAATCGCAAAGAGAGACATCCCAGGTAAGTTTTTCACAGTCTTGGTTGAGAAAAGCAAACACCCCACATGCTTTCCTGAGCTTGGCTTTCCAGCAGTTTCCACTGTTCTGGCCCAACCTGTGCTAGGAAGGTACTTTCCACACCTCGTCCCTTGTAATCCTCAGCATAACGCTGAAAAGTAGGTGCAGACCAGGAAACTGAGGCCTGGAAAAGTGAGGTGACTCACCCAAGTGGACAGGGGTGAGTAAGCGTGCTGGGATTCAACCCAGGAGACGCCAAAGCCCGTGCACCCTCAACCCCCAAAACCCCAGCCCGCTCCCCAGGTGAACATCCAGCAAAGAGTGACTATCACTATGTGCCAGTAAAACAACAAAAGACACACAGGGCATTCCAGCTCATTCTCACATCGTTTCTGATAGTGGAATTCCCAGAACCCAGTGGAGGTTTTCCCCCAACCCTAACGGGGAGCCCCATTCCAAGGAGACCCTCATTAGCTACCCTAGCACCCACAGATGGGCAGAACTAGAAAGCAAAGCAGTGGTAAGGAAGAGCTCCTATGTGCAGCACACCTACCCCCACCGTGTGCCAGGCACACATCATAAATGTCACAATTATCGTTAGGCGTATGCACAGATGAGAAATTGCGGCTCAGGTCGCAGTGCTGCCCAGGCTGGAGTGAGCAGGGCGGGTAGGCTCAGACTTGGGCTGTGGTCTTTCCCACAGTAGCACACGCCTTTCAAACCCCAAACAACCCTAAGCCCCCTTTCTCCTCACACCTCCTCAAAACGCCCCTCCCATAACGGCTCCGTGACATCTGCTCTTTCAAACCCTGGACCTCCTCTCACCTCCCTCCCAGGAGCAAGCCCGCTCCCATCTCCCGTGCTCCATCAGAGCCCTCGGTGGAGACAGAGGGATGCAATAGACGGGGGTCTTGAGAAAGGTGAAGAGCTCCTGTACAGGTGGATGTGTGGCAGAGGCACCACGCCTGCCCCTAGCCAGAGCTCCAGGCCCAGGACCCTACCTCTGACTAGCTCCACCCCCTATGCCAAGATGGGCCTCGAAACAAGCAGCAAAGGACCCCCTCTGCCCACCACTGATGCTCAGGGAGCAGGGCTGATACCAGCTCACATTGGGGCCACGTCCCCCATGCAGGACATCCTCTCCCTCCCCAAGGACTCTTCACCTGTGAGCCAGGTGGGGATGCCCAGGGTGGGGGAAGGGCGTAGGTGCTCAGTTGCTAAATGAATGAATGAATGAATGTCCTCCAGGAGACAAAGCTTCAGAAACTTCCTCTTTCCACCTTCCTACTTCTCTATCATTAAAAAAAAAGGAAAGAAAGAAAACGTGCTCCTTTTATACCTGTCTCCAGAATGACTGTTCCAAGGAAAGGGCTGACATGGGGTCCACACCCTCCTGCAATGAAACTCCAATGCAGTCCTCACCCTGGGGACTCCCTTAAGGGTGAGAGGGACCCCTCATATTTGCAGGCCAGCCCTTCAGTCCATGTCTGGAGGCCCCATCATGGCCCCTGGGACCCTTGTGACCACCTCCCCTGGAACTTGACCAAGCCTGGGCAGAACTGAGCCAAACCAGAGGCCGAGTCCCAAGAATTAATGTCCACCCGCTCACCTGCTACTGCCCAGGGCCAGCGAGGCCCTGGGGACAACAGCAGGGCATGGCAGAGCTGGAGGATCCCCTTGGGGCCACAGGCAGGGCAGGACCAGCAGTGTCGAGGCCTAGGTGGCAGCTGTTCAAATTTCCAGAAGCCCAGGCGGAGAAGCACCCGTGATTCCTAGTCTCCCTCTTAAAATATAAAGACTCAATTATCTTCGAGCAGCTTGCTTTACACATGAATTGACACATTTATTTTACAATAAATAACCGAAAGTTATCTGTGTTTCCTTTACTGTTAATCTACACAGAGAAATAATAAACAGGGCTTGTCTACAAAAAATGCAACTACCACAGTCCTTGGAATTCAATTAAGCTCAAATAATTAATGCTACCACCATATTAAATTACTTTATACATTTGAGCCACTGAAGTTTTATTCTTTCATCTTTCCTTCTTATTAAGTAAAAAAAGAAAGAAAAGAAAAGTTGGTGCCAAAGTAGGCAGGGAAATAGGAAAAATGGGGACTATAAAGGAAAGCGTGATGTGCTGTTCAAATGGAATGGTCGTCTTCAGCTGACACAGCATGTAGACTGTTTTGTGCCTTTGATTAAAGTAACATTTTAAATGCTTTCAACAAACATATCTCTTTAGACTTCTAAGGGATTATTTTACATATTTCTTCTAGAAGGAAGAAATCCATTCGTCCTGTTGCTGAACAGAAAGGCCAAGAATATCTTTCGTCACACATAAAATAAAAATACTGTAGGCTGCTGCAACATTACAATCCAGGGGAAAAAAAGTCAGGGGGTGGGGGTGGGGAGGAAGGATAAGGACAAAGCTGCTTTAGAGATTAACTTTGCCTTTTATGAAATCATATTTAGTCGCTTTCTTAAACAAACCTACCCACAGTGATCTGCAGTCTCTCATTGGGAAACACCTTCAACATGAAATGAGGATTCGGATGTTTTTGGCAAGGGCAGCAAGTCTTTCCAGAAACATAAACAGGGGGCCTGCGTCTCCTTGGCGGAGGCCACGCCTGAAAGGTCTGTGTGCACTGATGGCAGGCGTTTATATCGCTGGTGAAAACTAGCCCTCGAGCATCGGACAACACAGGCACAGGGACCCAACACCTTTCTCGCCTGCTGCCTCAGCCCTAATGAAGGAAGTGTCGCTTGGATCTGCACAGCACTGAGAAGCCAGTGTTTCCATGTGGCCTGGACATGCTGGTTATTTTTCTCAACGCCCTTTGCATCTTGGAAGGAGCAGGAGAGATTTCATGCTAGGGCACCCACCAGAAGGCAAGACCCAGAGGCTGCTCTGGTTCAGTGGAGTCTTCCAGTCTGCCCACAAGAAAGAGATCTCATCAATCATCCCCTTGTACAGGTGGGTAAAGTGAGTCCCCAAGTCCCTGCGTTCTCCTGTCTGTCTCCTGGATGATGGGGGGCCCTGCCCACACCCATCCGTCTCACCCTCCTAGAAGAATCCAAAGCCTCAGTCCCTCCAACGCCATGGCTAGCTTCCATAACCAAAGAACAGGGGATATCAATCCACATATTTCCCAGTCGGCCATCTACTTGCATGCATGCTGCAGGGCTAGAGGTGATCTCCGAGAGAAAAGTTCCACTGGCAAAGCATTCATGGAGCCCCTATTCATTTAATCCTCTCATCAGCCCTGCTGGTATTTTCACTCCCCAACAGATGGGGAAACTGAGGCTCAGCCTCAGGAGATGGCTAGCCCAAAGTCAACCAGCAGGATTTGAAACTTCTGCATGAATTCCGATGCCTGTCTCGCTCTAAAACAGGCTGCCACTTTTAGGGGACGCAGGCCAGTCAGGGCCCTCCTTTCTTCCCCAGGCCTCCTGGACTCAGAAGCACAGACCAGAAGCAAACTCTCTGGTCTGGGCAAAAAGCAATGGCTCCCTGGAAGAGGCTCCAGCATGCCATGGCCATGGCCAGGAGGGAGGTATTTAATGCTAACTCATTGTGGTGAGCAGACCTGATTGGAAGACACAGGCCCATGCCAGGGGGCAACGGGGCCCTACACCTTTTCTTCAGATGATAAACATGCCAAAGGGCATGTCCAGCCTCCCCCAAGGGGCACAGCGCTCCAGCAAGTTCCCACAATCCTTCCCCAGACCTCCCCTTAAAGTCGGGCAACATCAGAAGCGGCCTCTGAGATCAGGGGGCCACGCCCCTCTTTTTACAGATGGGAAACTGAGTCCAGAGAGAAGAGGGAGGAGAAATTAAGTGCCCCCATGCATAAGTGCCTACCAGGTACTGCCACACGCAGCAGCGTCTTGTAAGTCCTCACAACAACCCTAACGAGGTAGTTTCCTTAGTTCCACTTCACAGATGGGGAAACCGACGTGTCCACGTTGTGAAGAGCAGGTTCCAACCCAAGACTGTCTGGCTCCAAAACCAGGGACTAAACCAAGATCACCAGCAAAGACAGGGCCAACCAGACTTCCAAATTTCCACTCTGTGCTCCTGGCCACCTCTGGATTAGGCCCCAAGACAGAGTCCCATCGCCAAAAGCAAAGCAAGCACTGGCCAGTTGGGCCTCCCTGAGCCCCAGGCCTGTCTCCTCCTGAGGGTCACCTGGATGGTGGGCCCTCCCCCAGCACCGATACTCTCAGACAGAGGGCATGGGACCCGGGAGGTGGCTTCGGCAGCAATCAGGCGAGCGCAACGTTCCATACCTGCCATGTTCTCCTGCTTGGGGCAGATGCCTTTCGTGGGTGAGAGCAGGTGGTCATCTTCATCGGGGGTGACCTGGATCCCAATCTCCACCGGCTCGGACACTTTCCTGAGCTCGGAGCGTGAGGAGGGTGGCGGGCTGCCCTTGTCCAGGCCTTTGTCATAGCAGGCACCCAGGCTGCCGCCACACTGCTTCTTCTTGTGCTCTATAAAAACCAGGATGTCCCCCAGGGGGAAGTTCATCTGACACTGGCCACAGGTGAGCAGGTCAGGGTCGGGGCCACCCACCATCAGCCCCAGGCCGCTTGGCTCCTCTATCTCCAGACCCTCATCTTCTTCAAGGATGGTGGCCTCCACATGGTCAGCCTCTGCTGGAGACAGAAAGGAGAGGGGGGAGGGGCAGAGAAGACAGAGGTGGGCTTAGGCAGTCACAGGCACCTGGCATTTGTTCCAACCCTTCCCCACCAAGAGACAGGCACCCTCTGCTGCCAGCTGCTAGAGCTCGCCAGATCCCCCCCCCCCAGGATCAGGGGTTCACCATCCTGCACGTGATAGCCAGGCAAACTGAGGCTCTGGGAGCAACACCATGGCTCCCAGAGGCTGTGCCCTAAGCAGTGCTGATCTTACTGCGCTCTAGTTTATTTGGTGCCCATTTCTTCCCCAACATAACATAAGAACACACACACATCCTGGCTGCTGACAGTATCAGCTAGACACGTGTCTCTCAAACATGGCAATATCTGATAATCACCGGAGGAGCACTGAAAAATCCCAAGGCCCAGGCAGCACCCCAGATCAATTACATTGGGAACCAAACATCAGTATTTTTTTCATAAAGACTCCTCAGTGATTCCAATGGGCATCCAAGGCTGAGAAGCAGCGAGCCTGAGCCCTGCCCGCCCGAGCTGCCGCCCCTCCCTTCGCTGACACCTTTCATTCATGTCCTTCCCATTCATGTGAGTCCTACTCACATTCCTCTACCTGAGACCTGGCCGCACACCAAACCAGAAAACAGAAACCCAGACGGGCGTTGGAGGGCCAGTCCTTCTGAGAAAAAGAAGGCCACATGCTCCGAAAGCAACAAGTGAGTGTCAGGTTCCAAAAAACTATAGCAGGAAAGAGCAAGGCAGCAAAAGGGATGGCCTGCAGGAGGGGGGCCAGGCCTCCCTGCCAAACACCCCGCTCCTGGTCAGACTTCCATCTCTTTGTAGATCTCCCAACACTCATCAGCTCCCACTGTGCTTTTTTGTTTATTGGTTTTATTTTCACTCCCAAAAAAAGAAAAGAAAAAAATTCTTCAGACTCCAAAAGCATTTCTTGGCAGAACTCAAACCACACTTTCAGTGGGCTGTATGTTTTTATATTTCTTTAGCAGCCGATATAGATTTCCTTTTTTTTTTTTTTTTTTTGATAGGGGGCATAGGACCCAAAATATTTGAAGCTAATAAATGCCTCAAAAAGCAGCAACCCCAAGGGAAAATTGGAAGACTCAGCTGGCCAAAGTGTCATAAGTAAAGAGAGGTAGACAGTATGCAGGTTTCACATTCCCCTCGGGGTCTGACCAGATTTGGGTGGGAATTTTGCAAAAGCAAAAGTCAGCAGTCGTGCAGAAGGCACAAGTGGCGGGGTCTTCAAAGAAGCAAGGGGGGCAGCCAAAGGTCTGAAACCTGAGGAAGCAGGTAAATTTTAAGTTGCATGGTATTTAGGAAAGGATATTGAAAACCGCAGAAGAACGGCAAGAAGGAATGGAAGGGGGAAGACACATTCCATGGCAGTGAAGTTACTGACAGGCCAGAGCCAAAGGACAGATAATTTAAGGAAAAAATTCTGTGGCATCTTCCATTGTACATGTAAATCACTGTTCTATATTTTCTGAACACAGTTTCTTCAGATCCCATGAGAGTCCATGTGTAAAACTGAATACAGAATACACAATACATGACGTATAATGTGCACGTAGGAACTATGCGTGGATAGGTAGAGGTGTAGGTACCACTGAGAAGGGAAATTACAATTAGAGATCCTTCCTGTGGTTATAGAAAAGCAGACAGGGCCCACAGTGAATTAAATGCAGAAACGCATCAGAAATGTGGCTGTACAAAAACACCCCACAGATAAGGAAATCCAAAATCTGTTGTCTGCATGTCTCCAACAAAAAAAAAAAAAAAAAAAAAAAAAAGCCTACAAGGTAAAGAAACAGTCCTCACAAAGCCAGTCCCAGAAACCATTAATTATACTTTAAAAAGAAATCAGAGTTTACTTAAAAAGGAGTTTGAAGACAATGCTACATAATTAATTTACCAATTTATTTTATGAAAAGATGCTTTGCTATGGTTAAAATGTAATCACAACCTTCCCGCTAAACAGTGGTTCTGGGGGGAGACGGGATTCCTGCAAACGGTTTGTCAGAATGTAAAAGGTAATTATTTGGTGCCTCTTTTCCCTTTAATGATCTAACATTGAGCAATACTGTTTATATTGAAAAGCTCGCACCTTTAATTACCAATTACATATACATAATTTCAGAGCCAAAGGAGAGGGCTGTGAAAACAGTTCTTTAGAAATATAAGGATGTATTGTGCACCATTTCTAGAAAAGGAGCTCTAATAAATGGGAGGAGGATGTCAAAATATTGTTTTCTTTAAAAAAAAAAAAAAAAGAGGCACAAAGGAAACGAGCTGAAAAGCAAAAAAAAAAAAAAAAAAAGGACAAAATGAAATTGAGAATTCAAATGAAACGGGGCAAGGAACTATACCTGGTACCGGTTTAAACGCCACCCCTGCACCAGACTGACCACCTGGCGCATCATTAGAGCATTTCATAAAAAATCAACAGTAAGTGCACATTCCCAACTTGATCGTCCTTTCCGTGTGCGAGGAGGTGTTTTCTGTTTTTTAATTTAATCTTCGGTTTACTTTTTGCTTTTCATGAACTTTTCAACTGCGTCCATCCTCCAGCAAGATGAAGCTTTCCTCTGCTAGGAGGTTTTAAGCTACATAATTTCAAGTTCATTCTCTAATTCAAAAGGAACACAGGCTAATTTAAAAATTAGCAAAGTTCACGTTTTGCCTGTTCATTCGCAAGCATCCCTCCCCTTCTCCACTCCCTCTTTTGCCAAGACTCAGTACAAGCGTTTTTTTTTTTCCTTTTTCTCCTTTTTTTTTCTTTTTTGGTAACATCTGGTATTCTGTCCTCTTTTTGGCAGTCTTTTCCTTTTCACTTTCCTCATGCAGCAAGCCCTGTGAGCCCCAGTAATTGAGTTTGAAGGTCTCCAAAGCCATTTACTGTGCTGCAGTTCTGATTCCTGCATCAAGTCCCCTGCAGCCAACCGACCTGGGGAGCCAGGCCCTGTTGGCATCCCACAGACAGCCCCGGATTATCCAGGGCTCCAGGGCTCAGCACTGAACTCGGATCTCCACCTCCCAGACCAGAAATACAACTCACTGCCTCTAAGGGAGTCAGGGAGGAAAAGAAACCAGAAAAAAAAATCTCCTTCCCCTCCCACTTTCAGCGTTGAAAGTAAAACTCCCTGAGACGACAGGGTGTTCACTGACTCCAAAGAATGGGGTTTCCTCTCCCCACCCCCCAGGTTGTGGGGCTCTGAGCATTGGCCTGTTTGGTCAGACACTTCCAAGCAAAGGCAGCCAGGTCACCCCCAGCATTCAGGCAGCAGAGTCACCCTGAACCCTAAAACCATCCAACTTCTGGGTCAGAGCGGGTAGACCGAGGGAGCTGGCTGGGCCTGAAAGCTTGTGGCTTGAGCCTTTCGGAGACACCCCCAAAGACTGTGGTTTCATTTCCGCTGGCAGGCGGATACCGAGCTAGGCATGTAGGGTACGTGTGTGTGTGTGTGTGTCCCTTCTTAGAACTGTATCGATGATGGGAAAAATAAAAGAGGAAAGAGCCACTTGGCCAAGCCCTAAGAAGAGCAAAGAAAGAACCTGTCTGGTCCTCCGACTACCTCCCTCTCTGCCCTGTAGATACCTGAGTCTCACGGCTCTTCACAGCCTGAGTGCACTAGGCCTCCGCTCCGACAGGCAGAGTGGCCCAAACTGCCACCCAGAGACGAGAAAGCACCAGGAAAGAGAAAAGACCAATAGAAACAGCCTTTCAAATCCCCAGAACCTACAAATCCAGCCTTTCACGCAGCCTTGTCCAGCAAAATTGGGCCTTAAAAAAATAAGGAAATGATGAGGTTTTCCTCTGAGATGATTTCAGCTTTTATGAAAGCTCCCCAAGTGTCAGGCAGCCCTGCAAAATTTTGCTGCTCTCAATATATTAGGAGCTGAATAAAGCAGAGCAATTGCTAAAATGTTTGACTCATTAAGAGGAAAAATAAATGGATACAGCAGGCAACTTGTTCAAATGTCAGATATCAGAGGACTGGGGTGAGTTCTGAAAAGTTAAATCCTTAAGTGCCCAGACAAATACATATTTACACACACACACGCTCAGGCACAATCACACACAGACTTAGAGTTTCTTTTACAACAAAACCACATTTTATTTACAAGGCTGGGCCTACTCCCAGCTGGTAAACGCATTTAGAAGCAATGAAATCAGGCTTCACAAACAATAATGGACATCGTTGTAAGTGGAGAGGAAAGCGCTTGATCCTAAGACAAACTTCCCCATGCCTCAGCTTGGCTGGGAAGGAATTTGGGGCAGAAGACAGAAATGGAAAGACATCATTAACACCGGCCCAGCCAAGCAGCCACAAGCCCCTAGCAGCTGCAAGAGCTCAGCAAGGCCTTACCTGGCCAGTGATTCCCCCACACACAGCACCCCCCGCCCTGGTCCATCTCTAACAACTGTCCCTGCACCTGCCCTTCAGGGAATTCCAGCCAAGAGATCAGCTGCCTGCTGTCCCCAGAGCTCAGGCATGTGTGTTGCTGGGTACACGCACACATGTGCATTGCTACATACATAGCACATGTGTGCACTGCTACATATACACATGTGGGCATTGCTACATACACAGCACACGCGTGCATTGCTGAATACACAGCACATGGGCTTGTGTTCCCCTTTACCCTGCCTGGATTCATATCCAAATCTCTAATGGCTAAGACACAGTTCGGGAGAAACATATGCAGAATTACTGTTCCAGTGATGGGAGTGTGGGTAGGGGAAAGATGCTAGGGGGAGGGGTGCCAGGCTCTTAAAATCGTGGCCACCAACGTCACAGCCGCCATCATGATATGTATGCGTGTTTACAAGAAATGCTCAGCATCTATCCACCCGAGACTTTACACCTGCTTCCTACGAAGATGGAGCCTTTGCCAGCAAGCCCATGCTCACCAATAATCTGCAAAGGGATCTTTTCACTCTCCTCCCCGTGAACACTCGAGGTAGGGCTGAGACGCCAGGCGACACCGAAACGCCACCAACACGCACTCAACGAAGCACAACACTTTCTGTGCTGCCATCAATTTTTAATTTATTGGATCCCAGAGAAAATAACAACCATGGCGAGGGGGGAAGAAGAGGGGTGGGTGGGAGCAAGCAGGAATCAATTCTTGGTGGAGAAAATAATCTATGACTAGATGACGCTTAAAGGCACAACAAGAGATTTTATGAAGTTCTCCTAACGGAGGGAATAATGAAGTGCCCAGCGGAGAAGGGACTGGAGATAAGTGCAAGGTACGTGTTAGGAGGAATGCCGGCACAGGGCCATGAAGGGTTAGGACACATGTGGCACAGCTCTGAAGTGGCAACGTCATACACATGAACTCTCTTGCCCTGATCACCTGCCCTCTCGGTAGGTCTGAGGAGTCCAGCCTGTTGCAGGTATCACAGCCCTGTACCTCCCGGAGACCCTCCAAAGGCCTCCTCCCTGGAGGAATGGGTCCACATGGCGGCCACCACCCCACAAGGTGGTCTGTTCTATGCCAACCGCAGCTCACACTTCAAAATGAAATTTTCACCATTTCTGACGTCTGGGAGGAGAGAAGACAGCCCGTGCAAAACATGATCACCAACGTGGGTTTCCTTTCCCAGGAAAATGACCAGAATCATGGCTGACCTGGCCAGAAGAGGGAAAGTGTGGGCCCGGCCTGCTTTCCAGGAGGGTGGGGATTCCTGATCCGCGAACAGGAAGAACCTCACTCACGTAGCCCTAGTCGGTAGACTCCAGACGGGAAAGTCACACGGTGTGGGGAGAAGAACCATAGCTACAGATTGTCCTACAAAACTTCAGCCTGGCTTTAGGATGCTTAGGCAGATGAAAGACAGCTCCCAAAAAATATCCTAACTTGTTATACAAACTTGGTCCAACCTCCTCCCCTCCCGCAGCACATACATCTCTCCAGAACCCCAAAAACAGAGCTCAGGAGTCCAGATCGCACCACTTCAAGAGCAGAAAAAAGAACAAATGAATAAAGAAAACAGCATTCCAGTGTATTCACAGATCCTGGCCATTACTACAAGGCTACAAATAAAAAGCTAAGTCCATGATACCAAAGAATGGAGTCCTCTATGTTTTGATAAATAAAATAATTTATTTAGAGAAAATAAAAAGATTTACCACTGCTTTTACTTTTTGTAGAAATCCTTCTAAACACATTTAGCAGGTTCTATAAAACTACAAATACCTTAAGTCTTCAGGGCCACAACAGGGCTCATAATGATGTGATATAAAAGCATTCCTTGTGGCCAAATAAAGAGATTTGTTTTATTTAACATCATGCTTTTTCAAAGGTGCAGAAGAAAAAGGCTTCCATCCAGGACACTGGACTGCAAGGCTTTAGCTGGAGGAGTTCAGATTCTCTGAGGCCAACAGCGAAATAGCAAGGGCAAGAGCTGCTTTCAACGTCTCATTTCCAAGGTGGGCATTTAAATATGATCCCCTCCCCTTTTTTTCTTTTGTTTTTAATTTTTAGCACTGCATCCATTTCTGAGGCATATGTTAATCACAATAACACTGGCATTCAACTTTCCTGATTCATTCTGCATGACGTTTTAGCAGAGAACTCATTAGAACCTTTCACAAATGTATTTGTATTTCAGCAGTCCAGTGGAAGGGAGGGGGTCAGAAAATAGCTACGTAAAGCAGAGGGGTTTTTTTGTTTTTTTGTTTTTTTTAACTTTGAAGTTATTTAATTTTGTGTGGTCTGGGATTTCATTACAGTAAAATAGCCTGGGCTGGCTAATTCAACACCCAAGCAAATTATCAGCTGCCACAGAAAGAAAAAAAAAGAATGAATTTCTTGAATTTCAGCAACTACACAAAAGACTTGCATATGTCAAAATGCCGGACGCAAGTCCGCGTGAATGTAGCTCCATTAATCAAACCACGATCTAGTGTCACTTTTGCCAGTAAAAGGAGGCTGTTCTGCTCACCCCCCTCACAGGCTCGTGCAGAAGACGCAAGAAGTGTGTCCCTCTGCTCTCATGTGCCTCTGAAGAGCCTGCTCTCGACACTTTCCATACATGTCCTGGGAAAACCTACTGCTCCAGGAGGCAGTCAACGAACGGGGAGGGGTGGAGAATCGGGGAACAAATCGTGAGCAGATCTCACTGACGTTTGGCTCCCCAGGACCGCAAAGAAGATTTGTGGCAGCAGGGAGCAGGGGCACACAGAACCCCAGGTCAGGTCCTGTGAGTAAATAAAGAGGGCTGCAAAGTGACAGAGCCATACTCAGAGCAGCTGGATGACACACGTTCGTTCCTGGTGTTCTTCTGTGCTCCCTCCCCATTAAAAATTATGTAAGTTTGTCCACAGCTAACATCGTCTTCAGAGAAGGCTGCTCAGCAGGCATCAATAACTTGACCATGTGGTGCAGGGTGCAGTCCCCAAAGAGCATTTATTTTCCCCTTGTCCTCCCCAGATGTGACGCCAGCATTAACCTAGAGGCCAAATCCTTGGAGAATTTCAGCTAAAGATGAAGCCTAACTGGGCAGCCAGAAGGCTGACAAAGCAGAGTCCACGGGAGAGGAAGGTGAGCCCTCAAAGGACAAGAAGCTGACCCCCATCTTTTCCCTCCCCCCATATATATAGATAATGTATGTTTTTCATACAATGTCATATCTGTGATCTGTGTTTAGCTACTGCTTGTGAAACTCCCCCAAGTTCCAAAGCACAGGATTGGGCATCTCTGAACTGAATTTTTCAAAACGATTTTCTGCAGGCCCGAGGCCACTACCTAGCCTAAGACGGTGGGGTGACCGTGCCTCTTCATCTCAGAGTTGTCCAACGCGCTTGCTGCCACTATATGCTTACAACCGGCTCAATTCAAACATTAAACGAAGTAGAGAAATCATCAGATAAATGGCTGGCCCTCTGTACTGGAGAGTGAAGGCTCTCTCTCCAGCTGATGACAGCGCGAGGCTTTTGTCTGACCTAATTTATTTCTCTTTCAGGTTAGAATAAAGCACTCTTTCCTGTCGCAGAGGAACCTCTTCTGCCCATGTATTGAACTCAAGCGTAAGACTCAGGGTTACTACGCTCTGCAGATGTCTTGAACTTGGAAAAGAAGACATTATAGATCTAGAAATCCTGGGATCAAAAGCATGCATATTCCCCAGCACTAAATTACATGTTTGGGGGAAAAACAGTCTCATTAAAAGCCATCCATGAGCGTAAGACTCAGGGTTACTACGCTCTGCAGATGTCTTGAACTTGGAAAAGAAGACATTATAGATCTAGAAATCCTGGGATCAAAAGCACGCATATTCCCCAGCACTAAATTACATGTTTGGGGGAAAAACAGTCTCATTAAAAGCCATCCATTAAGGGCACTGTTTGGGGTGAAAGGTATTACCAGTGCCGGCTCTAGCAAGCATGCTCTCCTTCCAAACAAAGTTTTACATGGTATTTGAATTGGCATTTTATATCTTTGGGGATCAGTGCTATTTTCCTTAGTACAGTAGGAACATTACCTAATAAATGGAATTGAGAATCCAAGTGTTATAAAATCTGAGCTAAAAGGATTTCTATTCATCAGGCTGTTTTAGGCGCAGGACTCCCAAAAGCAGCGATTCTCGGCTGTTCCCTGGGTTTGTGACATGCAACACAGAAATGGAAACTATCCCTTACCCAAAACGATGTACACTCTTCCCCGACCCCAAAGCAATCACAAATGCCTTAACAACATAACAGAATTTTCAGAATGTCAACACCACAGACCAATCGGAGAAAACACACCCATTCGAAACTAACAATTTTAATTGTTAAAAAGAAAGAAAAAGAAAATTAAAGGAAAAGAAAATGCCATCTGCCAAGTGAAGCCTTGTAAATCAATGGCGATAGCTTGAAAATAGATTTCTCAAACTTATATTCTCATTTTGTCCTATAAGAATCTCTGCAGGAAAATCAATATTACAACTTCACACTTAAGACATTTTGCAGCAACGTAAACTGCTGTGGCTGCTGATGGAAGCCCGTTCCTAGCCCACTGTAGCAACGGCGCCAAGCCATGACACGGGCACCGAGCTCCCCCTAGCTGCCAAGTGGCGCCAGGCGCAGCTCAGCGTTTCAGGCGTGCCATCAACCAAAAGCCAATTCAACTGAAAGTTTATTTTGGAAAGTATTTTATCACAACAAGCAACAGAAAATGCAAAGCAATCGATATAGGAGATGAAAAGGGGATAAGTAAAGGCTGGTGCAAGCCGTGTTCTAGGCTGTAAGATGGTGCCAAGAGTTCAATTCTGACGAGGCGCTGGAAACTGGTGCAATCCACAGTTGGAAACTGTAATCAGACTGTTTTATGTCCTCCATCTCACCTGAGACATAATTCTAATTATTGTCAAATGCACCCAAAGTTGGCCTTCCCTTCGACCAAGTAAGACCCACCTAGTCCAGCACAGTGGTCAGCAAAGCATCACAGCCAACCCTCTAACCACTACCTCTCTCGATGTCTCTAAGGCCGGCTTCACAAAACTGACTGCATTCACCCCAGGACTTGAGAATGACTTGTTTTGTGTTACAAAATATTTTGAATGTCAGACAAAAATCGCCAAGGCCGAGACACAGGCAGATAGCAACCTCCCCCCTCAAAAAAAGAAAAATATATAATATTCAGGTAGTGAAAAAATACACTTTAAAAATATTAGGGGTTGTTAAAATATGCTCACTGCTGTTTTCTCTCAGGTGTGAATTACAAATGAATAAAATCAGCCTGGCATAACACCTTTGATGAACACATTTTTATTCTCCCGTGGAATCAGAGCAGCTGACTTATATCACACTTCTAATGATATGGGGTTCCCTTCTGTGCAGAAGGGAAACAAACCTCACTCCCCCCATCAACTACCAAAAAAAAAGAGGGCCCATATCTTATGAAATTTATCGGAGGCCCAATTTTGAAAGATATGTGGACCACTGGAGATATACTCTACCCTGGGGAGTCAAGATCATTGTGAGCACAGCCGCCTTCAAAACATACAGCAACAGCAAAACCTAATTTAAAAGGCAACCATGGAATTAACACAGCCTAACTTCCACGTCCAATCTCGGTCTCCGGTTGTTTTGCAAAATCGTGAATTCATACGGAAAATTACTAATCTTCCAAGGAAACCTGTTGGTGGGTTGTTGAAAAATCACCTTAATTGGGGTTATGTAATTTACCATGGACAGCTTATTTGCTTCAGTTTCTTCAGAAAGCCTCTAGCTCCTCCATGAACTTGGAGACATTTTCTTCTACCCTGGCCCTGTCTGGCACAGCTGGCTATGACCCTTCCCTCTGCCTGGTCATCTGCTGGCTGCCCCTGTAACTCCCCTCTTTGCCATTGTCACTGTATTGTTTTGTGTTTGTTTTTATTAGTAACTGTGTCTGTCCTCCAGTTTTAAAAGACACATCCATCTGGGTCGAACATTTTGAAACAAACCAGAAGCCCAGGTTTCCATCTCCAGCTGT